CAGTGTCTGACACCACAGTGTAGCAACTTCAGTGGTGTCTTCCCGGCTCAAAGGAACATGGGTGACCGGGAGGCAAGGGCTGACGCCTCTGTGGCTAAAGAAGAGAGACCGAGCAGTCCACTGGCTAAGCTCAGTGGTTAGAAAACAGGTCGCTGCCTTCAAGGAGCTCACAGTCTAAAGAGAGAGACTGATATAGCCACCAGGTGGGAAGAGAGGAAAAGAGAACGGTGCAGGGGGGCTGGGCAATTGCGGGAGCCAAGGGCATTTGTACTGGAGGAGGCTCCTGGAGGACCGGGAGGAGCTGTCGAGGTGGCGATGTGGTACTGAGAAAAGGCATTCCGGCAGAGACAGTACGCGCAAAGGCACCGGGACATGACCGTATCCCTCTGACAGGGAGTCATGTGACCAGGCTTGGGTTTCAAAGACCTCGCCTTGGCCGTGAAGAAGAGGTTGGATGGGGGCAAGGGTGGCACAGAGACCGTGAGGAGGAAGCTACGGGGAGTGGGCTGGGGCAGTGGAGTTGGGACCAGAGAGGTAGGGACAGACTTGAGGGACATCAGAAAGGTCAGGGATTCTTACCTGATTGTATTTGGGGTGGGGAGAGACAGGGGGGAAGTCTAGGAGGGGAGACGCTAGGATTCTCTCCCGGAAACTGGAGCTGTCGAAAACGGCTCTACAGTGAGCTTCTGCTGTTCGCGGTGCCAGAGGGAGCACCCTTGCTGAGGGGGCATCAGAGATGAGGATGGCAAAGTTCTGTGCCCCACTGGGGCAGCTGCCAGGAGGAGCATGCAAAGTCCTCCCATCCCACGGCCACCACAAGCTGCGGGGTGGGGAGGGCAGGAGGAGGAAAGAAAGAGAAAAAGGAGAAGTGGTGGTGGGCACGCAGTGAATGTGTAAAACCTCGGAGCTGGGACGTTTCTGAAAGTGAAAGGCGAGCTGTTAGTAAGTTCACCCTGACCTTCCAGACAAACTTTCCTCCTAGAACCCTAGAGAAGGGTTATGATCCCTTTTCCTTCTCAGACTCAGTGGAGGGATGGGAATCTCCTGACAACAAGAATATTTCATTACTATATTTATTGAGCACGTACTATTGCCAGGCACCAGGCTAAGCCCCCCTACTTGTATTAGCTCATTTAATCCCCACAACAACCCAGTGAGGCAGGTACCAATGTCGCCTGGTGAGGAAGTTGAAACATAGTAGGTGAGCCACTTGTCCAGGAAATGATGGAGCTGAGACAGGCACCCGTGAGCTCTGGCTCCAGAACCTGTGCTCTGAGCCATTCTGCCCTTCTAGGGGGCTGGAGGCTGCCCCTGCTCCTGGCTGGGCCTCTGCCATGTCCAGGTGGGAGGGTGAGTCTCCGGAGGCCTGTTGCCTGAGCTCCACTCCAAGCCGGACCCGCCTTCTCTTCCACCTCTCACTGGATGACACTGGTCCGTTGTCACTGATACCCCTGAGGGTCACAGGCATGAATACTCGCTACTTCCTGCCCAGATCCAGCTACAGACCTGTCCAGGTGTGAGGTCACCTGCACCCACATTCATGGTCTTCTCCACTGTCAATAGTTCAACCCTGTGCTCAAGTCCAGACCTGCTGACCCGGGACACTGGGGCGCTCATCATTCCTTGGTCTTTTCTCCCTTTCCTTCTTTACTGGGTCTTTTTCTTTCCTGTCATGAAGAAATCCTCTGTTTGTCTTACCCAGTTATACACTCCCCCAGTGCAGAGAGGACAAAATCCAGATTCTGCTCTGTGAGACCCAGGGCCCTTCTTGATCTGGTCTTTCCGCACTTCTCCTGTTGCTTCTCTCATGACGCCTGCGCGCTCCAGCTCCAGCTCCTCGCCTGTCAGTAGCCTAATGACACCCCTAACTCACAGGGTGATCGGAGGATGGAATGCACTAATGGATGGCAAGCATTTAACATAGTTCCTGACACAAGGTAAATTTTCAAATAACGTTAGGGATACTTATTATTCTGGTGAAGGAGGAAGAATCTTGGTGGGCTTCACAGAGGGGGTGGCATTGGAGCAAAACCTTGAAGGATGGAGGAGGTGGACATGTGGTGTTGTGGGGGAGCACAATGCAGGCCGGAGAAACAGCACAAGCAAAGGCTTGTGGGAGTCTGTGCTCACACCCGGAGTGGCTCAGATGGACTAGGCCCGGAGGTTGTGGATGAGAAGAGGAGAAGATAAAATCAGAAAATGCAATGCTAACCTGAGTTTGGTCTTTGGTTTGTGGACAGTGGGGGGCCATGGAAGATACTAAGAGGGAGTGATGAACTCAGCCGCCATCATTTTGAACTTTTGCATCAGATCCTGATTCCCATGCTCCTTTCTGATCCCATAGAGCCTGAGGGGTACTTTGGAAATCATTCCTCTGCCCTAACCTTACATCTTCACTGTTTCCCACTGTTTCTGGTGTAAGAACCAACCTCTGTCCTGTGCGGGCAGAGCCCTGCCCGGCCTGGCCCCACCCACCGCCTCTCGCTCACTTTCTCAGCTCTATCTATCATCTCTCCTGCTTCCTTCAGACAACGATGTATGGAACATCCACATGTTTACTGTGCAGGGTCTCCCTCAGGGCCTTTGCACATGCTGTTCTCACTGCCTGGAATACTCTTCATTCTTTCGAAAAAGGTCTATTTAATCCTTACCCATCCTTCACATCTCAATCCAAATATCCTCCTCCAGGAAGTCGTCTCTGAGTCTCCTCTTTTATAAGGCCTCATAGTACCAAGTACCTCTCTTTTGTAACACTACCCACAGTTGCAATTCTACCTCTATTTGTGTGATCACAATGGAGGCCAGCCTCCCCACAGGCCGTAACTTCTGTGAGGCAGGAACTGGGACTCTCTTGCATACTGCTTATCCAGGGGTACCTAGCACAGTGCCTGGTGTAAATATCTGTGGAGGGGAATTGTGGTTTGGGGAATAGAAGGGAGAAGAAGAAAGCTTGGGCCTAGGGGGTCTTCAGGAGGCTGTTGTCATGGCTTGAACGAGAAGTGGCACCTGAAACTAGGGCAGGTGCAAGAGACCCAGAGGGGGCAGTTGTGATGAAATTGACTGGGAGTGGAAACTGATTAGTAGGGTGGGCTGGGAGGGGACTTGTGAGAGTGGGAGGACACCAGGTTCTTTTTTAAAAATAATTTTTCTTTATTGATTTTAGAGAGAGGAAGGGAGAGGGAGAGAGAACAGTGATTGGCCGTCTCCTGCAGGCCCCCCACTGGGGATTGGGCCCACGACCTGGGCATGTGCCCTGCTCGCAAATCGAACCAGTGACCCTGTGGTGCATGTTGATGCTCAACCTTTGAGCCACACCGGCTGGGCAGGAATCCAGGTTCAGTAACTGGGGCTTGGGCAAGAAGACGGAGCGCAGGGCCAGGAGCAGAGAGGGGAAGTCAGAAGCTACGGTTGCGGGCAAACGAGTTTGAGTGACCCTGTGACAGGAGAGTGGGCTGGACTAGAAGGAGCTTGAAACAGGGAACCATGGGGTAAGGGTGGGCATGGGGTTGGCTAGAATTCTGAGAGGTGAAGAGGACAGAACCCTGGGGAAGGGGGTGCCCACATGGAGGGAACAGAGAGAGAGGAAGGGTAGCTTCTCTGAACTTCAGTTTCTTCAAACGCAGGCAACAGCCATGCTCTCCTGCACCTTTTGTTTTAGACATGTTCACAATAAAGAGTTAAAACAGTAAAAAAGAAAAATGTGGGCAACACTGCCAACCCCGTAGGATGATCTGAGGCTAAATGAGATCATTTAGGTGTCATCCTTTGCAAGCCGCCTGGCACAAAATAAGGACTCAACGAGGCACCATGCTCATCCTCATCAAGGTACTTGAGTACATGTCTGTTCTGAACGCAGGGGTCTCAAATAATCAGAAAATAAATAACCAAATAAGTGGCCTAAGGCAGTCGTCCCTTTGGTGGACTCCTGCATGCGCCTGCGCTGGAGTCCAGGGCGCACCGGGAGCTGCAGAGCTGGAGGGCACAGGCCGGCCCTTGCAGCAAGGTGACTAACGCAGGTGCCTGCGACACACCACCTACTGCGCCACCCCGGGGCCTCTCCGGGTGCTCTCCGTCCCCACCCTCCCCCACCTGACTTCGCCAAGAAAACCAAGAAAAACCAAGCTCGCTGGGGAGTGGAATAGCAAGTGGGGCCACTGTGAGCCGTGGGTGGCTTCCCCCAGGCCCATCCTTCTTGGTTCAAACCCAAGACACTGCCTTTCTGGTGTGACTGGGGAGTGGGCTCGGTCGAACAAGAATGTGGTTCCTGGTGGAAAGGGAGGAGCAGGGATTTTTTTTTATCCTCACCCGAGGACATTTTTGCATTCATCTTCAGACAGAGCAGGAGGGAGAGAGGGAGGAAGAGAGAGAGAGAAACATGGATGTGAGAGAGACATATCAACTGGTTGCCACCCACATGACCCCAACAGGGCCGGGGACAAACCACAACCGTGGTACATGCCCTTAGCGGGAACCAAACCCGGGACTCTCTGATCCACGGGTCGACGCTCTAACTGCTGAGCCAAACCGGCCAGGGCCAGGGAATTTTTTTTCTTCTATGGTAAGAGGGGGCTCACCGAGAAAAGTAGGCAGGCCCATCAGGCCACAGGAAAAGCCAAAGGGACTGCCTTGGCATGTCGGTGCAGCCACAACAGTGAGCCTGGGCCGGGGGTCCAGAGGGGCCTGGCTCATCTGCTCCCACCGGCTCAGTGGAGCCTGGAGCTGGCCCACCCTTCAGGCCCTCGGTTACCACCCTGTGGTTCTGTGACTCTGCGTTGTGTGCTGTTTCCAGCTGTCCTCAGCCAGTGAGGGGCAGGCTTGGTTAGGGTCCTGGCCCCTTGAATCCAGGCCACTTCTCTAGGAGAAGGCCACTTCGTCGTCCCTAAGTGGGCGGCTGGAGTGCGGGCTGCAGTGGGGACTGGTGTGTTCCAGAGGCCCAGGCCAGGGGCCCCCACAAGCTTCGAGGACAGCTTCCTGAGGTCTCTGCCACCCTCTCTCTGCAGTCTCGAAGTAGCATGCAGCAGGGGGACGTGGATGGGGCCCGGAGGCTGGGCCGCCTGGCCCGGCTGCTCAGCATCACCTTCATCGTCATGGGGATCATCATCATCATTGTGGCTGTGACTGTCAACTTTGCAGGTGAGGCCCAGCCACATGCCAGCTTGCTTGTCACGAAGACAACCAAGGGTGTAGCCTGGCCCCCTGGGGCAGGGGCAGTGGGGGAAGGGAAGAGCCTACGGGGGGGGGGGAGCTTACGGGAGGGGGGGGAGAGCCTACTTGGGGGGTGGGTACAGCCTACCCTCTAACCCAGAGAAAAGCAACCCAGTCCCCGGCAGCGTCTGGCTGAGCAGGGCTGGCTGACTTGTCTGATTTCTGGGAAGTGGATTAGAGGGAAAGGGTGGAGTCAGAGTCTCTGATGGCCCCAGGCCCTGGGCCGATGTCTGTCTAGTTGAACCCAAGGGGTTTTCATGTCTAAAGTAGCCGGAAGAGGCCTCCAGCACAGAGGCTCTTGTGAGTGACCCCTGAGACAATGGGTGTGACCGTCTTTGTAAACTGTGGACTTGCCATCCGAGTGGAGTGTCCGTGCTGAGACAGCCAGGCCAGGCCAGAGGGCACAATGCATGCGGAGGAAGTCAGAAAGTAACACTTTTGTGAGCACCCAGAGGTGGCCCAAGGAAGTCATCCAAGCAGGGGAGCCATTTCCAAGAGGTCAGGTCTGTAATCAGCCTGCTGGGTTCAAAACCCACGTCCTCCACACCTGTCTGCCTGGCCCGAAGCACGTTCCGTGATCTGAGTCTGCTGGGTGCGCAGGGACGGCAGCGGCAGGGACCCACTTGCTGGGGCATGAGCCTCGGTATCCCCCTATGATGCCACCGTCTCCCTGGTTCTGCTGCTGCTTGTCCTTTTAGCCACGACTCTTTCGATGGCACATGACAGCTACGGAACTTGAAATGGTAACGGGAATTGTTTAGCTTTTGTTAAGAAATTCAAGCAGAGATGGTTCAGGGTTCAGGGGTCCCATGCCACGGGGTCCTCTCATTGGCAGGAGTTCAGTTCCCCCAAGAACCCCAAACCAGATGATCCCTGTTGCCATTTCCCACTAGAAAACACAACCCCAAATCCTCAAAACAGGGACCTGAAGACCCCACGTTCCGAGCTCAGTTCGCCATAACCGTTCTCTGCTTTACAGTTCAGAATAAGCAGAAGTAACCAGGGCTCTGCCAGCAGCCAGGCTCTGGCCAGCTGGAGCTCCCAACCACCTCCCCCACATCCCACGAGGACAAGACGGTGACTGCCAAGGGCCCACCTGTCCCCAAGCTCCAAAAGCACAAATTCGGAGGAAACCCCCAAGTCACTCCATTCCAGTCCCCACCAGATGGGAAAAGCCAGAGGAAGGAAGGAAGGAAGGAAACTGACTGTGAAGCCGGTGAACACTGTGATCGAATCTCTCGGACGCAGCAGGCATTGTGGCCCCAGTGCTCTGGCTCTTCCTCGTCCCTCCAGTTTCCTGGCATCTACCGAACAGCATATGCTGCCAGCAGGAGGAGAAACCAGCCCCGCGAACAGATGAGCTACGGTGAGGAGAGCACCCTCCCCGTGTGATTGGGAGCAAAGACACGGGACTGGCTTTATCTTTGTACTTTTCTTGAGAAGGGACGAAAAAGACTTTGCATGCCTTGTGCCACACGCCTTCCGCCATCCTAGCCAGTGCCCTGATCTCAGAGGCCGAGCCAATGCTCAGCACCTGCCCTGGCACCTCGGCACCCAGACGGGCAGCTGCCCCGGAAGGAGGTGACAGCCACTCACATCCCCCATTGCAGGGTGGAGGCTCCCTAAGGACCGTTGGTGAAGGCAGAACAGGGACAGCATGACCCCCGACCTCCCCGGGAGTATCTGCTGAGAACTACGGTCCTGGGGGTCTCCCAGGGTGCCCCCGTCCGCCTTTTGCTCCCTCCCTGTGCTGTGGTCTGGGGCATAACCAAGAATCCTAGGGCCTGCCCTCCCCACCCCTCCTGTCAGCCAGGGAGGACCCCGGGCCTGAGCTCTCTCCTGCCACGGTCCCCCACGGTCTGGGGTGTAAATCTGGGGCCCCAGGCAGAGTGGCTCAGATGGAGCATGGGTCCCGGCTCCCAACCCAGCCTCAGCTGAATCTCCGTGCCCCGCCCTGTGCCCCTGGCCACCCCCAAACAGCAGAGGCTTCCCTGGAGGAGAGTTTGGGATCACCCCTGGGAGGGGCTCCCCAAGGGCTCCTGGGCGTGTGTGTGCTGCCTCAGGGAAGTGGGCCAGAGAGATTCTGTGAAGGTTATTTTTCTTGGTCTGGAGAATTCCAAGACAGAGGGAAGAGCTTGGCTGGGTCTAGTCTGTGGGAGAGTGGGGGGCCCTGGTTTTGGGGTACACTCACATGCCTGGAGGCAGGGGCTGGACACCAAGGCCTCTGTCTAAAGACCTAATGGGATGCTTGAAAGAACCGAGCAGAACCCCTGGGCCTCCTGCCTGGCTTCTGGCTCCAGATTCTCCCGAACATCTCTCTGGAATAGGCTCTGTCCCCGGGGGCTGCTCCTGTGCCCACCTTCCCCATTGGCTTCGGCTCCCAGACTCTCAGAGAGACGCTGCGGGCTTGCCGGCCCGGGGAGGCCCTGGGACCAGCCTGGGTGGCTACGCACAGTGGTGGGGTGGGGGCAGGTTTTTAGCCACAGCCAGACTGGCTCCAGGTTGGCCAGGAATGTCTCCCCTGAGCCTGTTCACGAGGCTCATGCCTCCTCTTGGGCCCCCACCAGGCTCTCCCACCCTCCACACAGGCCCCTGGGAGGGAGTCCTTAGCTCAGAGGCTCTGTCTGCCAGGAGGGCTCTGGGTGCGAGCGAGCGCAGTCAAACCTGAGTGACCACCGGGGGGCGGGGTGCAGGGCCCAGGGGGTCCCTCTGGGGCAGGCTTTCCTGAGTCAGCGCCCCACCAGGGGATCAACTCCAGCCTTCCCTGCCCTCAAGGAAGGGCTGATTGTTTGCTTTATGGAAGCTCTGAGGCCAAAATAGAGGTGCCCTGTTTGTTGGGGGGGGGGGTGTCTGGGGATGACGCAGAGTATTTGTGTCACTTGCAAGGTCAGGTCAGGTCAGGGGGGACATGAGGTCTATGGAAACTGCCCATTCACAGGCCCCGGCTCTGGGCAGGAGTCGCAGGTCTCCCAGCAGGTGCCACTGGTCCTCAGCTTCAGCATTTCAGGGAGAAGAGAGAAATGAACCAGGGGAAAATGATGGCAGAGGCCCCACACTGTCCCCACAGGCCTCGCCGGAGCTGGAAGGAACAGTGGCCCTGCTGTCCCAGCCCCTCCGTGGGTCCAGCTCTGGCTGCATGAACACAGAGGTCCCGGCGGACTCGGAGCACTGGCTCGCCTCTCCCACGCCCCTTAGGGAACTGCCGGGCCTCCCCTCCCCCGCGCCACACCCACCAGTTCACGCTCCTGTATCTCTCGGCATGGAAAGAAATAAAGCTGACAGTACGTGCAAACCGCAGGCCTGTGTCTGTGCTGCTGGGGTCAAGGGTTCCAGGCAACTGCTGGGGGGGTGGGGGGTGGCTGTCAGTCCCAGGGTCAAGGCTCAGAGCTGGGCACGGGCAAGCCTGGGCACCATGGCCAGCATAGACATCGTCCCGAGCAAGTCGCTGGGCCTCTTGGGCCTCAGCTTCTCTGGTGAGTAAGGCTGGTCCCATCTTCCCCAGGCGTTCTTTCTGCATGTGCCTGAAGACCTCAGGAGTGGAGGGGGGGCAGGAAACCGGCACCGCGGATAGCCTGGTGCCAGCTGGGCATCGTACATACTTTGGTAAATCCACCAGGCAGTCCAAGGGGGTTACTAGTGTTGTCCTTGGGTTCTAATTGGTAAACTGAGGCTCATAGAGGTTCAGGAACGGGTCCCAGGTCCCACCACGCCTGGCACACAGAATGAACGCTGGTGAGCTGACCCCATCCTGACGTCTGACCTGGACGCTGGCTTCTTGCTGCCCTGCTGCTGTCCGGAGAGGAAGGTGACAGGTAGGTGTGTGCGGAGGGAGCGAGGGGCCCATTTCCCAGGCTGCGGGATGAAGCGGGCAGGGGTGCTGACTGTGGAAGGTGGCAAGGACCTCAGAAGGGCAGGTGAAGGGGGAGGTGGGTGTGGGCAGAGCCACCAGGCCAGGCAGTGAGAAGGAAGAAACTGCCACATGGCCATGATGAACTGCCCACACTGAGGGCTGGGGTGGGGCAGGAGTGGAGGGGGAGTCGCAGGACCCAAGAGGCAGTGCAGCAGAGAGTAGATCCGGCCCCCCTGGGAACACATCCTGCCTGGCCAGGGATTAGCTGGGTCCCCTTGGGGAAATTCCTTTCACCCAGAATAGGGGCCAGGGGGGCACTGCCCACGTGCCCAGCACTGGGCTCTGTAGTTTGTGTAGATTATCTCACTTAGTCCTCACAGGCCCTCAGCGGTCACCCCGTTTTCCTGAGAAGCAGGCGAAGGTTAGAGAGGCCCCGTGACTTGCCCACGGCCACACAGTCATGGGAAGCGGACAGGCCTTCTCGGGTGCCTGGGCGGCAGGAGCCCTAAGAGGTCTGCAGGCGACACCAAGGGCGTTGGCCACGCCGGGCCCTTGGACTGCACGCCCTGGCCTGGCCACGGTCGGATTTCTCTGCAGCTTTGATTCGGTGTTGCGCTCTGACCTCTCCAAAGGCATCTGAGGCGCCCCTGGGGCCTAGGTCACGATGGACGTCACCAGTGGACGCTGCCAATGTAGTAACTGAGGCTCACTGCCACCTCCTACACAGGCGGTGCGGGAGCAACACCACTGTCCGGCCTGGTGGCCTGAACGTTTTTTTGGCGTCATTTGTCGGGCACAACCCAAGTTTAGAAACTCTACAGCGGGGACAGGGGGACATCCGTGTCTTAGACTCAGAGAGGGAAAAGGCGGCGCTTCCCTAATGCAGGAGGTCCCTGAGGGCCACAGTGCCCGGACCAGCACCCTGTCCTCTCGGGAACGGGGCCGGACCTGAGGATGGGGTGCTAATCTGCTCTGCACACCCACAGGGCTGTGGGAGGCCTGATGGCACTTTCGGGTGACCTGTGAGGGCTGGAGACATGTGGGGGGCACAAATAACAATTTCCTGGGGCACAGCCTGGAGAGCGTCCCAGAAGCTGGGAGGTTCTGGGCACTCCCGGTGACCCTCAAGTCCCTGCCAGCCTCCATCCCCAGCCGGCCCTGCCACTTCCTGCTCCCTGATGCCCGGGAGAGGACAAGGACGCTCTCTGGCCCAGGCCCCGCACCCTTTCCCGTTGACTGTGTCATCTCGGTCATCTCGGGCCGGCCCCAGCCTTCCTCCGGGCCTCCGTCTCCTCTCGCGGCTAAAGGAGTGAGCTGGGCTGGCCTGGAGCAGGCTTCTCCGCCCCGTTGCACACAGAGATCACCTGGGGACTGAAACATGCTGACGCCCGCCGCCACGCCTGGAGAATCTGGCTGAAGTGATCTGGGGTGTGGCCTGAGCATCCGGTTTTTTAAAAGCTTTCCAGGTGATCCCAATGGTCATTTGAGGTCGGGAGCCACTGGGTTAGACTCTAGAGTCTTGCTCCTCAAAATGTGGTCTCTGGGCCATTAGCGTGGGCATCCCTGGTGTTGTCAGAAATGCAGAAACTCAGGCCACACTCTGACCTAATGTAATGACTCGGAAGATCGGCCCTTTACCGAGCTACTTGGGTGGTTCACTGCACTTTACAGCTGGGGAAGGTCCTGGCTGGGCCTGAGCCAAGGGGCCAGCTCAGCCCGGCTCCGCTGCAGGCTGACCTTCAGCACACCTTCTCCAGCGGGTCTTTGATCTCCCCTCTAAAAATCATTTTTCTTTCTTTTCCTAATCACTACCTGGTCTGTTGTAAACACACTGAGAAAGCCTAGGCAATGCTGGGAGCAAAGAGGAGAGAGAGGGACACCCCACAGACGTTCATGGGCGCTCACAGCAGAGAAGGTCTGCATCCCACCTCCAATCGTGTTTGCCAGCGAGGCTGCAGACTGTGTGTATGGATTTGGGGGAGGGGGGTGCCCAAAAGCACAGTTTCCGAGGAAGCACCAACCTTCTTCCTCCCCCAGCCTCCGGTTCCACACCGTGGACCTGCGGAAGCTGCGCGGGACGGAGAAAGGTGCAGCAGGTGTCTTAAAGCTGATTGGGTGGAAACTTCTCACAACCAAAATGAACACCCTTGTTCTCAGGTCTCCACCCGCCAGACCCTGGGCCTGGGAGGAGGAGCGGAGGGAGGGACCTTGACGAGCTGTGATGTCTCTTGCACTCTTGTCCTATGGCAGGAATCCCCACGCTCAGGGTTGGCCCAGGTACATATGGCTCCTTTGTGCCGATGACCAAATGGGTCCCTCACGCGGAGGAGGTGCTGAAGCTGCTCCAGGGTCCCCTTCTTGGGTATGTTTGCAGCCTGGTGCCCTGAGCACAGGTGGACTAGAGGCCTGTGGAGAGTACCTCTCTGGAGCTGGGGGCGGAGCCGGTCAGCTGGAAGCTGGGCCCTGCCAGGGCTTCTGCCTCCTGCATTATTGATCTGCCCCGGCCATGGGCCTGAATAATTCATCAGGGGGAGGAAGTGCTGAGGACTGCAAACCGAGGCCTCCAGGCTCCTCCCCAGCTCCCAGCTCCCAGCTCCCAGCTCCCAGCTCCCAGCTCCCAGCTCCCAGCTCCCAGCTCCCAGCTCCCAGCTCCCAGCTCCCAGCTCCCAGCTCCCAGCTCCCAGCTCGGGGCTTACTTTTCCTTGCTTAAGGAGCTTCTGGGGAGGTCCTGCTGAATCTCTTTTCTTCTCCTGCCCACAGGGCAGGCCCAGGAAAGGCCTCACAAGTTCAGGGCTGCAATGAGCTGGTCCCAACCCAAACAGAGCTGCCCGCAGCCCAGGAGCCAGCGCCCGTCCTTGCCAGGCTTCTGGTCACCAGGGACTCTCAATCCACACGGCCTGCCTTGCATGCTGAGCCCTTTGACCTCTGATGAGGTGGAATGCTTCATGCATGAGAAGGACCTAACCTCATGCTGACCTGCGGCACCTGCTCAGTGAACACCACTGACATTGTTAATGTCCTCTATAATAAATGGTGGCTTCTGTCACCGTTGCCAATGTCTTGGTGAAGGGCTGAGGGCACCAGCTTGGGGTGGGGTGCAGTCAGAGCTACAGGGGTGTGGGACCTCTTGGTGCGGGCGCGGGTGAGCGGGGCTGGTGGTGTGGGACAGGAGGCGACGGGGGTGATGGAAGGACACTGAAAGAACTATTTAGACCCCGGCCGATGTGGCTCAGTTGTTTGGGTGTGGTCATGTGCACCAAAGGGTTGCCAGGTCAGTTCCTGGTCAGGGCACATGCCCGGGTTGTGGGCTCGATCCCCAGTAGGGGTGTGCAGGAGGAGGCCAATCAATGTCTCTCTCACATTGATGTTTCTCTCTCTCCCTCTCCCTTCCTCTCTCTCTAAAACTCAATAAAAAATTTTTTTAACCAAAGGGAAAAGAAAGACTCATTCAGGATTACTACAGTGACTTTTCCTCTCTGACCAAACTTTCCCACACGACCGCCTCAGGGGCTTCGGGGCGCCACGTCCAGCAGGGGTACGGCGGTGGCCGGCGGCCAGCAGCTCAGCCCTGGTGCCGGCATCTCGGCCTCAGTTCCGTCCGACAGCCCACTTAGCCCACATTGACGAAGGCTGCTGTGCCGTGTACAGCCTCAGGCCAGACTCAGGCGTGCAAGGAGTGTTCTCTACCGCTCTTCAGAACCAAATTTAATCTCCTCTTCGCCTCCACTCTGCATGGTGGCAGAAACTTAAGCTCAGGCGGCTCCGACTTCTTTCCCCTTGCCTGGGGGTTACAGCAGGCCGAGGTGTCCAGGACAGGGGTGGCAACAATCTGGTCCTTGCTGTCACCACCGAGCATCCTCACTCCATCATCCTTAGTCCCCGCAGATGGCTGCGAGCCAGGCTTCAGTCCCCCACTTCCGTCCCAGATCTTGGTCCACTGCTCCCTGCCCTCCCACGTTCCCCGGGACAGTTCCGTGTGGTCATGGCCAGAGGGAAGGGGGGAGGGGCTGGGGAGGGGGGAGAAAAATGGGACATCTTAATAGTGTCAATAAAAATAAAGGAAAAATAAAAAAGAGTGTAAGATTATCTTTTTCTTGCTTTGAAACAGTATTTGCAGCCCTGGCCGGGTAGCTCAGTTGGTTAGAATATCGTCCTGATACACCAAGGTTGAGGGTTCAATCCCTGGTCAGGGCACATACAAGAATCAACCATAAATACATGGAACAACATGCTCTGGCTGGTTTGGCTCGGTGGTTAGAGCATTGGCCTGTGGACCAAAGACTTGTGAGTTTGATTCTGGTCAAGGACACGTACTGTG